GTTGACGGAGCAGGCCTAGAAGCTGGTGCTACCCGTCCTGGTGGTGGGAAGGCTGGGCTTTGTCCTGTTCGTGCAAAGCAGGAGAAGATGAAAACAGTTTAATAATTTGAACATCCCTAAGTAAAATAGCTAGATCTAGCCCCTGCATGCATAATTCATAATTCTGAATTATAAATTAATATTCGTATGCAGTGAGGAGACTGTTATGAGGTGGCAGCTTTGAGAGGATGCGCTCACAGGTTCCGTTATCTTCAGTGCTATTTCGGGACATATTATTTTTCACAGATGTGTGTACAATGTCAGACACCTCTGCTGGATTGCCTTATGGAAAATCTATGTGTGATCAAATAAAGCAATTTATTTTCAGCGTGCACTTTAAATTATGAAAACTAAAATCATGGAAGCTGAGGAGGATTCCGATCTGCAGAGAATTATCTTTTTTCTTTTCTCTTTTTTTTTTCATTTAATGAACGCTTTCCAATGATTCAGTAGGGCAATGAAAGAAGGCTGAAATTCACAGGCCTTTTGATGTGGAACAGGTACCGTTCTCCTGCCAAAATAAATGACCTGGAGTTAAGAAAATAATGAGCCAAAGGTAAAATGTATTCAGTTGTATAGAAGCTTGCAAGGTGCTCTCCAGTCTCTGAGCTCATTATCAAGGGAATCAACAGCCAAAGGCCCACAATCGTTTCCAAGTCCCTTCCCATCCTGAGCAATTTCTTTAATTAACCAAACCCAATGGAGCCACGAACTATACAGAGTAACAGTTGCATGATGCCAATATGAACTACTTGCATAAAGTTTTATTACTAATTGCCAACTCATAAGCTCTTGCTGTGTGTTTTGATGTAGGAACTGACACGGGCATGGGTCCTTTGAAAATCACACTGGCAAGTAGATATTATCAAATGTCAGCAGATATGCCTGCTTCCTGGGAGGTTTTCAGTTTTAGAATTCCTGAAAATTAGTTCACTGCGGCAAATTACAGTGCAGCAAGTGGAACAATCAGGGATTTCTACATACCGCCTCCCAGGCCTACATCCTCATATCAAATAGAATTTAGCCTTCATTCATTACAGAATTTTCTTTTATTATTGGTTACCCTCAGACAGACTGATTTAGGAGTATGTTCAAGTATGGAAAAAGCAAAATAGAAGAGTGCATGGCATACTGGTCATAAACCCAGAAAGTCCAAGCCTATCATCTCATTTTCTTCCTCATGGTAACAAGATTGATAGGTAACATAAATTCCTTTTCTTAGTGAGCCGAAAGAAGGTAGTGCTTGAGCAGCCCAAAACAGAGCTTGGTACATCTAATCTCCCCATGACATTCATAGATGCTTATAACATGTCTAAAATGATACATATTGCATATTTTATGCATTGAAACTTTTAATATTCACAGGATTCTTAGGAATAGCTATGATACTCACTGCAATTTTGAAAAACATGTCAGATGGAATCATGACATTCAGCTCCTAAATAATGGACTTGCTTACAAATTCAGGCTCAGATCTGCAGTGAAAAAGTTGTTCACCAATGGCCTAAGGCTGGCAAAAGGTTTGTATCTATAACAGTTCACCTGATGAGGAAGCAACAAAAGAATGAAGTCTTCTCTTTAAATTTCTGCCTTTGTTGTAAGCAAATGTGATAGATACTGGGACAAATCTGTTTCGAAGCCTTATTTGAAAACTTTTAAAAAATTTTTAAAGATAAAATGATGTGTGTGTGTGTGTACAAATTTCAAGTGCCCAAATATGTGCAAATAGTGTAATAAACACACTGGTGCTTAAGAGGCATAGCTTAGAAAATTCGTTTTTCATCAGAGATTCTGAACATTCATATTAGTATTCTCTGCCTACTAAACTGACTATGGTTAAATAGAAGACTTGGTGGGTTAAGCCCTTTGGTATACACATGAAGACCAAAGTTTCATCCCCAGAATCAATGTGGTGGATGTATCTGTGATCATGGCCTGACTAGGGTGATACGGTGATATGATGATGTGACATAGAATGTTGTTCTGGCTAGATTTTCTTTTGTCAGTCTGACACAATATAGAGACACCAAGGACTAGGAACCTCAACTGAGAAAACGTCTCTTTCAGATTTCCTGTACACAAAGTGGTAGGGAATTATCTTGATGACAATTTCTTGATTACTGATTGATACTGACGGAGTCCAGATCATGGAGGGTGGTGCCACCTGTGGGGCTCTGGTCTTGGATTGTATAAGAAAGCAGACTTTGGAGGATAAGTCATGCAGAGTAAGCCAATAAGCAGCACTCCTCCACGGCTTCTACTTCAAAATGCACCTCCTCATTCCCACCCTAAGCTCCCATCCTGACTTCCATCAATGAGGGAGGGTGACTTGAAAATGCAAGATGATATAAACCCTTTCTTCTCTAAGTTGCTTTTGATCGTGGTATTTTATCAGCAATAGAAACCCTAAGTAAGATGGAAATTGATACCAAGAATAGAGTATTACTGTTACAGACCTGGTGATACTTTTTTGGGGGGAATTTTGGAAGGACTTTGAAATCTAAGGCAAGAAAAACCTATTGTGTTCAGAGGTTGATGGACTATTGTGGGGACTTAGAAGGTAATGATGAGAGAAATACAGATTATGGAGGCTGGGTGCGTGGATTTTTATAGGAGAGTAGGAGAGACCCTTAAAGACTATCAGGGACATTCAATATTTTGAATTAAGTGTCTGTAGTTCTGGTCAAATTGACTGTGGTTAAGGAAAGACCAACATAATTGACAAAAGGACTGGGGAAGTATTTCTTCTGAGTTAGCATGTAAAAGTTGTGGTCCAAAGGAGGCCAAGACTAGATGCCAAACTTGGTAACTCATAAGAGATTCCCAGGCAGTATTGGGTTTTGACAGCATGAAGGTGTTTATGAAGAGCAGGTGAAGCGTGGCTCTGTGGTAGGCCACTGGTGAAGGATCAGACACTACTGTATTAGAAGCCAAAGAATTGAAGGGGTTGGGGAGAAAAGTTGAGGTTTGCCATCATATGTCAAGTTTGGAACACCTAAAGAGAATCCATTAAAGGCTATTGGTAGGAGCACAGCACAGTAACAGGGGAGACCAAAGCCTTTTGAAGATGCCACAGCCATGGACCTACCACCACAGACAGCAGCGGGTGCAACTCCACACCTTTATGAGCCTAGGAGAAAATCTGAGTGTACTGAGGATGGCAGAGCCACAGAGGCGGAACTTCCAAGACCCTTTGGAGTCCATGCAATCATGAATGCATGCCAGATATTAAGCACTGAATTTTCTACGATGTTAAATTTTGGTTTTGCTTTAGTCTAATTGTGACTGTGCACTGGTTTTTCCTTCCAGGATAAGAAAATATGTAGCTTATTTTATTATTTTACAGTATCCCACAGTTAATACACTTTGCAATACAAGAAAGATTTTGCAATTTGATAGAGATATTTGGATGTTTTAAAGGGACCGAGCTTTTAAAACAATAGTAACTTAACAAGAATTTATATGGAAAGATCTGTATCCCTAGATATTCAGAGGCCAGTTTGCATGGCCTACACTACCAAAAAGGGATCCTGTCTCACACAAGATAAAAAACAAGGACTGACACTTGGGTTGTTCTCTTACTTCCAAACTCACATTGTGACACATTCATACCCCTGCCCCCTCACACACACACATTTTCAAAATGATAAGATGGCTAACCATATTGTTGCAATGCAGCCAGCACAAAGAGTAAATAAGACCACCAGAATAAGAGATGTCAGGTGGCTGGTTTTCTTCATAGGAAAACTACACATAGCCTTTATACGGGAATTTTAACCTAGGATACACTTGGTCTAATGCACCAAAACTATTCAGCTATAATAAAACATAAAGTGGAACTTCAATACAGACTTACAGAAAGATTTTTTCCTATGCTCAAATGCTGTCAAAGAATATTGAAATCAGACACTTTATGTTTATTACACATATTTAAGAATATTACAATATTATATGGATGATATAATTTTAAAACACAAAGTTTTTTAAACTCATGTGAATAAAAGTGAAAATTGAGATTCATCACCTCTACAAGAAGTGGAAACTTGAAAGTCTTACGACTTTGCCAAGCCTCAGTCTGGGCCTTTATAAGTGTGAATAATTTTAAGGGTGTAAAGAGGATTAAATGATGAAGGACCTAATACATACAAGATATTCAATATGTTACTTTTTTCCTCCCATAACGTATTTACAATTTAAATCTCATCTCATTGCACAACAGAATTTGAAGTAAGAAAATAGAAACAAAGTTAATATTGATCATGACAGATACTGCAATCCATATATAGGAAAAAAGGCTTATAATTTTATTTGATATGTATTCCTTTGGAGCTCCTGAGAATTGCTGCTTTCTGAAGGAAAGACTTAGGTCTTAAAAGGATCATTGTCACTCAAAAGGTGCCCTTCATTTGCAAGGTGTTACCTGAAAAGTCCTGGCACTCAAACATGTTGAGTGAACTCTATTCAAATCCTTGAATGATTATTTCCATAAGACATGAATGATCTATCTATAAGCTGCCAGTATTTTAGGGTCGGTTGCTTTTTTTGTTGTTGTTGTTTTTGTTTCTTTTTCTCACACAAATCACTTTGGTGGTTTTGGAATTAATTAGATTCTATAGGCAACAGTATACTGGTAGTAGTCATTTAAGTGACTGACATTTTCTTTGTTAAAATAATGAGAGGGATAATTCGGTATCTCAATTAAAGCAGGAAGTTAGGAGCTGAATTCAGATTGTAGGAAGGAAAACACAATGCCCTATCTGAAAGCTGTCTAGTCCATGGCTGAAAATCATTTCTAGAGAATAGAAGCCAATTCTATGTATATTGTAAGAAAAGTGTATATATATATATATATATATATATATATAGTCTCAAAGAGACTGTGTTGTAGACTTTCCCTGAATTTTCTTGAATGTATTGAGTGTTAAATTAGATGATCATGAACATTTTGATAATACTTTCAGTTCTACAAATTGTGGATGACCTTGGATTCTGGATGGGAAACCCCTAACAATCACTGGTAAGTGATCATTGAGTTAAATTGCATTTCAAAGGCTTATATTATAAAATCCGATCCAAATCTGTTATATTTTTTATTTACTGAAGACATTTGTGAACCTATAACTTAAAACAAATTAAAATATACAAATATATAAGAAAATTATAACTATTTATTTATTTCTTTATTGGTTTCTTGAGACGGGTTTTTCTATGTAACAGCCCTAACTGTTCTGGAACTAGTTCTTGTAGACCAACCTGGCCTTGAACTCACAAAGATTCACCTGCCTTTGCCTCCTGAGTGCTGGGAATAAAAGGATGCGTCACCACCGCCAGGCTAACCATTTATTTTTTAAATAAATAAATATTGCAAATTTGTATAAGGTACTTAGATTTCTAGCTTATAAAAGTAGTTCTGCAGTTTTCCAACTAAAATTAATAAAGTTAACTTAATAGTGGGTTTATTTTCAACTAGAACATATGGTTATACTAATTATACATGACCACAGTCTCTCACTGACTTTCTGGTTTCCATACTGAGTATCTCAATCCTCTACTTTGAATCTTTACAGCACTTGTTTATGAAAGGAAGGGAAGCTACTGTACAGCATGTATTGGCTACCACTTTTTGCTTTACTACCTTTCAATCTCAGAGGTGGCAGCCCTATGATCCTCAGAGCATAGAGGTATAATGACAGCCAAGAGGAACGAAGGTGTGGAAGTAAACCAGAGAGGAACGGAGGTGCAGAAGGACAAAGGAAAGGGGGAAAAACAGTAAGAAAGAAAGCTAAGACATGTGGAAGCTACAAACCAAAAGGGCAGAGGAGACACAGAGACAGATTTGGGGGGAAAATAGGAAGGAGAAAAATATCTGGAGAAAAGTAAAGCTGCTCTCACTAATTTAACTTCTTCTTCTTTGTCCTCTTTCAGAATGGTGAATTTCAGACTTATTTACACAGATATCTTTGGTTGTTCTTAACAATAATTTACTTCTTCAATCTATTCTTCAGGCAAAGATTCTTAGTATTAGAAATTAACTTTACCTTCAAAGCTTGTTATGTAAGGCATATAACTTGCTTTGAAAATGATCTGTTGAATAGTTTGAAGGTTTGGTAATTTCAGTTGTTGTGAACACATCCCCATTCATTCACGAGTCTTTGCTGTGTGATTCATTTAGCATACATAGGGTTTGCACTGCCTTTTCAGTGATATATACAGTGCACAAGACTTGAATACATTGAGATATATAACCCAGAATAGAGATGCCAGCCTGGTCCAGATAAGTTAAACAGAGATCTGACCATTGATAAAATGTCTAGAATTCCCTGGAAGAGACTTCTTATGGAAGCTAGGTCAGGGAAATGCAAATCAAAACAACTTTGAGATACCATCTTACACCTGTCAGAATGGCTAAAATCAAAAACACCAATGATAGCCTTTGCTGGAGAGGATGTAGAGTAAGGGGAACACTCATCCATTGCTGGTGGGAATGCAAACTTGTGCAACCCCTTTGGAAATAAGTGTGGCAGTTTCTCAGGAAATTCAGGGTCAACCTACCCCAGGATCCAGCAATACCACTCTTGGGAATATACCCAAGAGATACCCAATCATCCCACAAAAGCATTTGTTCAACTATATTCATAGCAGCATTATTTGTAATAGTCAGAACCTAGAAACAACCTAGATGCCCCTCAATGAAAGAATGGATAAAGAAAGTGTGGAATATATACACATTTGTGTACTACTCAGCAGTAAAAAAACAATGACATCTTGAATTTTGCATGCAAATGGATGGAAATTGAAAACTATACTGAGTGAGATAACCCGGACACAAAAAGATGAATATGGTATGTACTCACTCGTTTGTGGACTTCAGCCATAAACCAAGGTCATTAAGCCAATAGTTCACAAGCCCAGAGAAGCCAAATAACAAAGTGAACCCAAAGAAAAACATATATAGATCCTCCTGTAAATTGGAAGCAAACAAGATTGCAGGACAAAAGTCGTGAGCATGGGTGGGTGTGGGGGGTGAGGTTGGGGGAAAGTGGAGAGGGGGAGAGGGAAAGGAGAAAGGAAGGACTGGCGACAGCTTGTGGGAGTGGGAGGGTGGAGATGGAGGAAAGGCGGATATAAAAGCAGGGAAGAAGATACCTACATTAAGGGATCCATTTTAGGGCTGGCAAGAGGCTTGGCTCTAGAGGGGATCCCAGGTTTCCACGGGGATGTCCCCAGCTAGGTACTTGGACAGAAGATGAGATGGTGCCCGAACTGTCCTTGCCTCACTATCACGCTGATTATCTCGAATATCACCATAAAATCTTTGTCCAGCAACGGATGGAGAGAGAGACAGAGACCCTCATCCGAGCAACGGACTAGGCTCCCAAGGCCCAGTTGAAAGGCAGAAGTAGGGAGAAGACGAGCATGGAAGTCAGGACCGCGAGGTCCACCAACTCAGGCAGTGTGCCTGTTCTAATGGGAGCTCACTAAATCCAACCGGACCGGGTCTGAATGAGCATGTGATCAAAACGGACTCTCTGTAACTGACAATGGGGGCTGACTGAGAAGCCACTGATAAAGGCACTGAGATTTATTTTTACAGCATGTTCTGGCTTTTTGGGACCCTAGTCTATATGCATACACAGCTCCCTAGACCTGGATGTCGGGAGGGGGGGTGGGCTTGGACTTCTCACAGGGCAGGGTTCTCTGCCCTCTCAGATGCAGAGTGGGAGAGGGAGGAAGGGGTATGGGGGAGCCGGAGGGGATTGGGAGGAGAGAAGGAAGTAAAATAATTGAATGGAAAAAAATAAAATTTAAAAAAAATGGAAAAATTTCCCTTAAATTAGTGAAACAAATTTTTCCATTTTTTAAAGTATTGTGAATGCAATATGAAGTCCACTTAGATTTAGGTTTTTTGTGATCTTTACTGATGATAATAATGTCAATTCAAAAAGAACCTCTGAACACAACCACTGAGATAGAAATCCCTGTCATCATGAAGTATGTTGATCATAGCGCAAGGCTGGTGACCAACAAGCAAAACAACAATTCGTATCTCATAAGTACATAACAATCAGCAGAAGAATGTTGTGGCTGAGAGTGGCAGAGGAGTAGTTAAGAGAAAGTTGAATTCAGAAGCTTGGTGTGACCACTAAACAGGCTTGTTAACCTGTATGGAGTTGTGCACAGATAAGACAAACCATGGGCAGTATTGAGAAACTGTTCTACAATATGAAGCTCTGTTGTAGCTTGTCATCATAGGTGGCCTCCTTAGAAAGGCAACTCAATTCTGCAAGAAGAAAAATAGGGTGTATTTTTAAGAAATAATAAGGGAGATAAGAAGATGTGGAATGGAAGATGTTGGCGTGAGCCAGGTCTGATATAATGCTAAGGGGAGTTGGTGGCCTACTGTGGAGGGGCACACATTCATGCACAAAATACTTATTTAGTGCCTGCTATTCATCAATCATTTCATTAAACAAAACTATGGCACTGAACCTTATAGACAAATATACTCCAAGGTCATAGAGTTGAGATTCTAGCTAAGCAGAGAAAAAAATACAATTCAATAAGCAAAATGCAGATACCTGCCCCATTCTAAAACTCACCATGGAATGATTATAGAAAAAGTTATTCAGTTATTCAAATGTCATTAAGCTCAAATATTCTAATGAGTTGATAGCCTTGCATATGATCAATGGAAAACAAATATAGAAAAGTGGATAGTAATACTCAAATAAACCGAGTGGGTCTATCTACTAAATATAATGTGGTAAGTGAGAATATTTTTTAAAAAATGACATCCACAAGAGCACCTGAAAGCAAATTAGGTAGTGGCAGTGTAAGAAGAGCAGATTCTTTTGTTTGCCAGGCTACTCATTTTATTAAGAAATAGTTTAGTCATGTATATCCCTTGACTTGCTTTCACCACTGTGTGTGCAAAGTGGTTCATTCAAGATAGATCCAAAAAAAAAGATAGATCCAGATACAATTTATGGAGACATCTCAATGGCACAGCTTATGAGTTATTTCCTTCTCAAGCTTTGTTTTTTTCATACTTTTAAATTTTTTTCTTTGAGACAATGAGTATTAATCCTAAATTGACTATTCAATTCTATTCTCAGGTATGTAAAACAGAGAAACCTTCAACTTCTTACATAAAAGAGCATCCCTAAGCCATAATGTTTCTGGGATGGTTTCTTTGACTCCTGAGAAAAGTCTTCTCTAGCATATCCATGTGTTATTATATATTTGCATATTCACTTTGATGAAAAGCAAGAAATGGGAGTCAAATACATATTTCATACATTCTTTTGATTAAAAATTATAAAGGTAATATTAATGTTTTTTCTTTCTCATATCAAATATATAAAGTAGAAATAACTTCCCATGGAACAGCTAACTAATGAACAGAAATGAGATTGAGTCCAGATTTTATCATTGTTTCATTTATTTTATGCCTTGTTAATGTCAGTAATTCTAATGTTCAGATGTAATAGAAACAGATGCTTAGACTCATAATTGTGGAACCTCAGAATGTAAAGAAGACTTTGAAGTTAGCCATCTCATACCATAGATCTCAAGATAGTTAGTTATGCTCTGGAAGTATAATTACCTAAACCAAGGGGATACATTGAGTTCAATCCTGAATTTAAATTAAAGTTAATTTCTACTTCATGATACTCTTCTGTTTATTTAACATTCGACTGAGAAAGTTGGAATAAATGACAACTATCTTGCTATGTATGACTCATTTTTCCTGAAGGGTCTGTACCTGCTTCCTTTGGGTTAACCTTAGACATAAGTGGGTAGTGAACCACTGAGAAGGCTCAGCAGCTTCTTCAAGTGATCTCCACCTGACTTGACTCCATTTCCACAGCAGGAGGAAGTCAACCAGGTTATTCTCAAATTGTTCAGGATTAAATATTTACATTGTGTGTTTATCGGGGTGGAGAAATTGGAAGGGAGTACCTAGGCGAACGTATGTGTGTGTAGATGTGAACATGTTCACGTGAAAGCCATGGA